GGTAAAGCAACTGATTCTAGAAAAATTAAAACCATGGATTGTCAATGACATAAACTAGATCATCAGGCATAAACAGTCTAATATTTTCCTACCAAGAAGAATATAGACCTCCATTCTAGATAATAATGCAAGTTTTAAGAGGAAATACAGATGTTATTAATGAAGTTGTAGCAGAAGTAGATGAATATTTATATGTAAAATTAGGCACTCAACTAATGTACAAATTGGAGAAGCCACAGTATCTGGAAGCTTCACAGATCCCAGTGATACACCTACGACCTGTATCCCTGTATTTCTCGTCTTAATGAAAGTAGTAATGTTAACAGGAGCAATGTTAACTTAGTTTCTTCTTTTTTTTAGTCTTGCTTTATTGTTTATTAACTGCACAATTTCCTAAAGAGTGTGGCACATACATTTTCAGGTTTGTTTAGAGCCAGTGATGGTGAAGCTGCTGTTCCTGAGGAACACTGGAAAGCTGTGTGAAGGTCACTGACTGATAACATCTAAAAGCAAATTTTAATTCTCTTGTACAGATGATATGCCTTACAAATTCTTTTTACATTTATTTTTCTTTTTTATTGAGGTATAACACATGAAGGGAAGTGCACAAATGTTAAATGTACAGCTCAGTGAATTTTTACATATCCATACATATTCCCATGGAATCATCTGGGAGAGAACACTTTCAGCACTCCGGTAGGCTTTTTGTGCCTCTTCCCAATCAACAATCCTCATCTACCACCATCCAAAGTAATCTGTTTTGACTCCAATTGCAAGAAATTAGTTTTGCCTATTTTGAACATAAATGGATGGAATTATACAATAACCACTCTTTCATGTCTGGCTTCTTTTGTTATGTCTGAGATTCATCCATTTTGTTGCATATATTAGTAGTTCATGCCTTTTTTTTCTTTTAATCGGGGTGGGGGGGGGTAGTTCCCAGTTCTCTCTAGTTCATGTTTATTAGTCTGCATAATGACTTAGATGTTCTGCTACAAAAATTCTTGAACACATTCTTTGGTGCACATTTATATGCATTTTCTTGGGCACATACCCAGAGTGGAATTTCTGGGTCATAGAGTATTCAGATATAGAAACAACCAGAATGCTCATCACCTGATGAATGGATAAACAAAATGTGATATATCCATATAACGGATGAGGAAGTGAACAGTCTCCACTGAAGTGATCCACAAATAAGAAAGTATAAGTCCTCCTACATCAGAGGCCCATACTGTTAATAATAATAATTAAAATACAGGTTTCAGTGTGTTCAAGTCTTATCTTTTTGAGTAAAGTCAATACACTTATCAAATCCACTTTGCATTCCATCTAGTAGCATGTTAAGGCATAAAAGACAGTCCTTCTCAGAAAAAAGTCTTTGGGAAGCGTGAGGTGAGCTATTATTCTCATTGGCCAGCAACGACAACCAGGGCAAAAAGGCAGTCACTCTATTCAGGTCTACCTTTCTTCATATTTCATCCTACTTCAGAATTGCTGCTGCTTCCTCCACATCAAAAAACTAACCTCTTGGTACCTTCAACTTAGCATTAAGAAGCTACCAATTTAATTCCATTCACAATAACCAAGAGGTGGAAGCAACCAAAATGCCCATCAATGGATGAATGGAGGACAAACTAATAAACAAAATGAGGTATATCCATATGATGGACTATTACACAGCCTTAAAAAGGAAGGAAATCCTGTTACATGCTACAACGTGGCTGCACCTTAGGGACATTATGTTAAGTGAAATAAGCCAGTCACAAAAAGGTAAATAATTCCACTTTTATGAGGTATCTAAAGTAGTCAAATTTACAGAACAGAAAGTAGAATGATGGTTACCAGGGACTGGGGGACAGGGAAAAGGGAATGTTGTTTAAAGGGTAGTTTCAGTTGGGGAAGACGAAAAAGTTCTAGAGACCTGCTGCACAACAATAAGCATTTAATTAATCCTACTCAACTGTACACTTAAAACTGGTTAAGATGGTAAATTTTATGTTGTATTTTTACCACAATGTCAAAAAAAGTGAATTTGGGCAATCTGTTTTAAAGGCACAAATGCCATTTTAGGAAAATAAGGAATTCTCAGACCTGTTAGTGTAACAGAAACTACTGTCATTTTGAGCATGGTCACTTCCAAATTTGTAATGGAAGAACACGGTCTTTGGAGGGACCACATCAAGATATTGTACTTCAAAAAAAAAAAAAAAGGAAGAAACCAACTTAATTCCAAATAAAATATAAATATAAATAAACGAAAACTTAACAAATCATTGGACTTCCTAAACTCTGATTTGTAGAATTTTAGGCGATGCAGTATTTTTTAGTAAAACTTTTGCTGCTTTAGTGGCTAGAACTGACAAATGCTTAACCTATGATCATCAGATTCCCATTCAAAGTCAAAAATCTTTCCTTGTGGGGAATAAGCATAAACATCAAAGCAGCACCAACTTGATTGAGAATTGCCTTTCTTTAGGAGATTACCTTAAAAATCTAACAGGAAAACACAAATTGTAAGATAATCTCTCTCTTGGTTATTAAAGTGATTATGAAAGTGCAACTGATAGATATAAGAATACAAAATCATGATTCACAATGTGTAAGGACTGAACATAAATGAAATACTTTTATCTCTAATCAATAATTTATTGAAAAATAAAAAATTTCTCAAATGCAACCACACTTGAAATTTTCCCAAGTCTAATTCTAAATGTAGTTTCACAGGAAGGAGACATTATTTTAACCTATACCAAGTGATTAAACTACCTCTTAAACAAGTCCACCATAATATTCTATGAAGTCACATAATTATATTAGGAAGTTTGCACGTCCATTTTTACCAAGCCTATATACTTTTCTGGTAACAGCTTCTGAGATATAACTCACATACCATACAACTTACCCATTTAAAGTGTACAATTCACTGGGTTTTAGTATGTTTACAAACCAAATATATATCTTGAGTATACAGCTAGGAGAACTGCTATAACAAATGGTAACTCTTGTACTTAACTTTCTGATGAACTGTTAGACTGTTGTCCAAAGTAGCTGTATCATTCTACATTCCCAACAACAGTACATGAGGTCTCTGATTTCTTCATATCCTCACCAACCAACACTTGTTATTATCTGTTTGATCCTAGCCACTCTAGTAGGTATGATGTAGTATCTCACTGTGGTTTTGATTTGCACTTCCCCAAGGACCAATGATGTTGAGTATCATTTCATGTCCTTAATGGCCATCCCTATTCCATCTCTGGAGAAATGTCTATGCAAATCTTTTGCCCATTTTTAAATTGGATTACTTGTCTTTCTTTTTTTTGTGAGGAAGATTGGTCCTGAGCTAACATCTGTTGCCAATCTTCCTCTGTTTTTTATGTGGGATGCTGCCACAGCATAGCTTGATGAGTGGTGTGTAGGTCCATGCCCAGATCTGAACCCATGGACTTCAGGCCTCTGAAGCAGAGCACACATACTTAACCACTACAGCACTGGGTCAGCCCCGGATTACTTGTCTTTTTATTGTTGAGTTGTATGAGTTCTTTATATACCCTGAATACTAGTTCCTCATTATATATAATTTGCAAATATTTTCCCTTATTATGTAGGTTTCCTTTTTTTTTTACTTTCTTTATGGTGTCCTTGGCAGCACAAAAATTTGTATTTTGATGAAGTCCAATTTATCTATTTTTTCTTTTGCTGTTTGTGCTTTTGGTGTCATATCTAAGAATCCACTGCCAAATCTGAGGGCATAAAGACTTACCCTTATGCTTTCTTCTAAGAGTTTTATAGTTTGGGCTTTTACATTTAGCTCTTTGATCCATTTTGGGTTAATTTTTGTATATGGTATGAAGCAATGGTTCAACTTCAGTCTTTTGTTATGTGACTATCTAGTTGTCCAGCACCATTTGCTGAAAAAATTACTCTTTCCCCATTGAATGATGTTGGCACACTAGTCAAAAAGCAATGGACCACAGACTTATACCTGGATTCTCAATTCTATTCCATTGATCTATATGTCTTCTAATTTCAATACCACATTGTCTTTATCACTTTTGCTTTGTAGTAAGTTTAGAAATCAAAAAGTGTGAATCAGCCAACTCTGTCCTTCTTTTACAATATTGTTTTGGCTCTTCTGGGTCCCTTGCAACTATATGAATTCTGGGATCAGCTTGTCAATTTCTACAAAGAAGCCTGGGATTCTGACGGGGTTGTGTTCAATCTGTAGATCAATTTGAGGAGTACTACCATCTTAATGATATTAAGTGTGATCCATGAATGTTAACGTCTTCCATGTATTATGTCTTCTTTAATTTCTTTGAACAATGTTTTGTAGTTTTCAAAATATAAATTTTACACTCATTTTGTTAAATTTTTTCTCTTTGGATACTATCATAAATAGAATTGTTTTCTTGATTTTACTTTTGGATTAAGCCTAGATACTTTTGTATAATAATCATTTGGATTTCTTCTAGCATGATCCATTCCCAGAAGCATATCATGTCTTTTAAATAGAAAAGTATTATTATCTTTATTTTATTTTATTTTATTTATTTTTTTAATTGCAGTAACATTGGATTGTAACATTATATAGCTTTTGGATGTACATTATAATATATTTTGAATTCTGTGTAGATTACATCATGTTCACCATCCAAAAACTAATTATAGTCCATCCCCTCACATGTGAGCCTAATCACCCCTTTTGCCCTCCCCCCTTTCCCTATGGTAATCACCAATCCAATCTCCAATGCTATGTGTTTGTCATTGTTTCTATCTTCTACTTATGAATGAGCTCATACGGTATTTGACTTTCTCCCTCTGACTTAATACCCTGAAGGTCCATCCATGTATTATTATCTTTTAAACCTCAACTAGGGAACTCTTTTACACATATGAATTTTCCAGATAAGTGACAATCCAATAAAATTTAAAAAGAAAAATCATTTACAATGGAAATGTTCCTCAAGTTTCAGGTTTCATAAAGAGACTATCTGGTGCTTGCTTTGGCCAGCATATATACTAAAACTGGAACAATACAGAGAAGAATAGCATGGCCCTTGTGCAAGAATAACAGACAAATTTGTGAAGCAGTCCATGTTTTTATAAACTTCCAGTTATAAAATAAATAAGTCATGGGGATGTAATGTACAGCAAGATGACTACAGTTAGTAAGGCTGTATTGCATATTTGAAATTGGCTAAGAGAGTAAATCTTAAAAGTCCGCATCACAAGAAAAAAATTTTCTAACTATTTATGGTGAGGGATGTTAACTAGACTTATTGTGGCAATCATTTTGCAATAAATACAAATATCAAATCATTACATTGTACATCTGAATCTAATATCATCTTTTTTTTAATCCTTTTTTTTTTTCTGCTTTTTTACTCCCCAGATTCCCCCCAGTATATAGTTGTGCATTTTTAGTTGTGGGTCCTTCTAGTTGTGGCATGTGGGATGCCGCCTCACTGTGGCCTAATGAGTGGTGCCATGTCGTGCCCAGGATCCGAACTGGCGAAACCCTGGGCCGCCGAAGTGGAGTGCACGAACTTAACCACTGGGCCACGGGGCCGGCCCCTGAATCTAATATAATCTTATATGTCAATTATACCTCAATTTAAAAATTTTTTTTAAAAGAAAGAATACTTGATTTTTTTCCCTGATGAATCTGGTCAAGATGAATAATAATTACTCCACTTGAGCAACACCCTTACTGGTTAATCAAATATATAAGGCTATTCTGTCCAGACTGCTCTGCTTTGTGTAATTTGTCCCATCCATTGCTATCACTCTGTCAGTGATCACTTCTTGATATATGTACTACCTTCTCCTATGTTTCTACTCTACGGAAGACTAAGAAAACTAAATAAGCTTGTTAGAAATGCGTATAAAATAAGAACACAGAGACTTTAAAGGCAAAGATTGAAGGCCTAAAGTACAGGAACTTTTGGGTATCTATTTTGGCTCCCACAAAATTTTTTATTTTTATTGTTGTTCTGGTTTGCTTGCTAGCCCTCAGCTTTGTTGCAGAGAGCTGGAGCTTGTTAAAAGACACTATATGCAGTTTTACCATAACGTGGCTAAAAATTTCAGCAAATGTAATTTATAATTCTAATTTATATTAATGTTAACATATTCTATATAAATTTTTGTGAAAAATACTACATTTAGCCTTGATTATTCTGAAATATGAATATATTAGAGTAGAATAAAACTGCGGAAAAGTAATTACACTTGTATCACTGATGTGTACATTTCTTGCTCAATATACATAAAATAAAACTAACGTATCCAGTAAGCTATAGAGGAAGATATGTTGTATTTCTAATAACAATCTAAATTAATGAAAATGTTTATTGTGTTATTTACCTACAATAACAATAAAAACTAGAAGTAACTGGAAGTCCAATTATATGGTAAGAGTTGCAGTAATGAACTTGAAGAAATAGAACGTAGCCATTAAATAACTTATAACCATGAAGATCACATAGCAATCTAGTAAATACAAAAGAAAAGTCCCAAAGCATGTCCAACTTTATATGAAAGTATATATCTATGTATATGTGTATATATATATACATATACACACAATTGAATAAAAACTTTAATTTTCTGTGATGTTGCAATTCTACCTACCAAAAACAAACAAAAACAAAACAAATCAAACTTCATGAACTGGAATTATCCTTAACCTCTCTAGTCTGGATGTTCAAATCCAAACAATCTATTATTTAGATTAATCCATCGGACCACTGAAGTGGGGCATGTGAACTTAACCACTATGGCACTAGGCCAGCCCCCTTCGAAGGTTTTTTTTTTATTGCCTACAGAATAAAGTCCAAACTCTATATCATGGCCCACAGCTATGCAAGAACAGGCTCTGCTCACATCTCTAGCCTCTCTTCCCACTCTATCCTATTCAAACAAAAACCTAAGGGTAGAATAAGGTACAATGTTTATCTTCCACTTTGATTTTATTCAATTTCAAAATAGACATTTTGCAAATTAAAGATAAATCAAAATTTGATTATTAATTAGCCAATGCTTTCCCTCTTCATCTCCTAAAAATCTCTGAAGGTTAAAGTTGGACATGGTCTACCATAGAAACTACATCGTGTTACTTAAAGAAAAGATCATTAGCCATCATTCTATACTTTATTTATATTTCTTTTCCTGGTAATTATATTAAATGTCAATAACAATCACCTTTGGAATTAGATATTTATTCCAATGTCCTTTTTAACCTTTTTTTCTGGCATGTGGTATTTCAACTGCACACTTAACCAATAAATGGTGAGATTACATGGTATATAATGGAAATATCTGTTTAGATGTGCCAGATCTGAGCTCTATTTCAAACTCTGTGGCAAACTAGTTTATTTTACCTTGACCAACTAATTTAATTTCTAATTTCTCTCATCTTAAAAATGATGAAGTTTTGACTAGATAACGCCAAAGTTCCTTACAGGTCTAAAACTTAAGTAACTATTGTTTTTGTTGATGTGGACTTCATATGTCGATTAAATCAGTCTAAGTTACCAAGAGCTTTTTGGGAGCAAGGTCCCACTCTTGTTCATACTAAACTCACAGCCATCTTTTTCCTCTAACTGTTACTAATCTAGTTGTCAGATCTGAAATTGGATAGCAGGGTTCCTGAATCATGGTCAGATCTTGTGTTCAACTCATTGCTTATTTAAGATACTGTTGAATCTTGATTATATTAACCAGTCAGTGTATTAGCTGCCCCACATCAAGCACTGTGTTATGTGAGGATTTCAATTCACAGGTGAAGCAGATGGAACCAAAATAGTGAGCTCTATTGTTCAACATCAGTGATGACAATGGGTGGTTAAAACAACTACAAATCTACTTAATTATATTACCAGCCAGCTCAGATTTCTATATGTGTTACCAGAATATCACAAAAGTCTGTCAAATAAAACCTGGCTGAATAAAAATGTACAATATATAGAGACATCTGGTTTAACATGACAGATAAAATGTCGGCATTTAGCTCTATTCCTTTCCAAAACCACACTGAAATGACAACAGAAACAAAAAAGGACAAATAAAATAGTAAAGAAACAGTAGACTAGAGATGTAAACTTTTTGGAAAATGAGAAGTGAAGAGTCAAACGGTACCCGACTTAGCAGACCTGAGAACGCTGACCTATACCACAGAAGAGGAATCGAAACGCGAAGATTACCTAGTGATATTGGCAGAAATTTTACAATTTTGTTGGATACTTGAGAGGAAGAATTGATGACAAGTATGTAGATAACTAAGAAAAATTTTTTTAAAAATCAGGTTATCAGTAATTTTTAATTCTGAGAGAAGGTAGGAAGGGGATGTATTAGGAAGGAAATAGAGTAATAGTGTTCTCATAGCTCAGCTGTGAACAATATTTCTACAACCAAAACACTGAAAATGTAGAAAAATGGCTTAACCAAAAAGTATGACATAAATATATTGGGAAAATGTGGGGAGTATAGCATGTGATTGGGGATGCTGGGTATGAGAAAAATCACTAAATAATATCTCAGGTTAAAAAATTAAGAAATAATAATATTTAGAAAAAAGGAGGTATCTAGAGGACATGGTTATAAGAGTTGAAATGCTTGCCTGTAGGGAACAGGACTTTAAACTCTATGTCACATGATTATTCTCATTAAAATTAAACTACAAAAAATATATATCTATAGCATTCTCTTGTCCTAGTAACCCCAACTCCCAACTCAGGAAAACACTGGATTAATCTAGCATGATCAGTTCTTTGAAAGCCCACTAAAGCTGGCAGGGAGATCCACTTCCTTCGATAAGAGCTTTGCCTTTTTCTGGAAAAATAGGCCATAAGTTCAGACAGTTTTCTCTGTAGAATGCATGATGACATCATGTAAATACTGATTCTGAACTCTCCTCATAATCACATCCATAATCATCCTAGTTTTGTAGTCCTGCTCAACAACTCCAAATTGGTTTAGCAATCCTGGAAATTTTACCACTAAATTCTCCTGATTTAGTAGGCAAGATGTCAATGCATAATCCTGCAAGTAGTATATCTGTGACACTTCCATAATTACCATACTAATGTGACGCAGACGGTGATTCACTGAATGTGGTTAAAACTGTTTACTCCTACTATTTTTTGATGGAAGATGCTATTGACAGAAAGAATTCTTCCTCAAGATCTGTTAAAGCTGGTTAATTGTAACAAATTATGCTTGAGTTAGAACAAATAGGCTGCAATTCCAAAAGAAATTTAAACTATGATACTACTAGAAACAAGAATTTCATATACCTTTATGGTTTTTTCCAAGAAAGTTAAAATGTATTATTTCTGGTGTCATAATTTTAAATTGAATCATTCCACAACAAACAGGGGAATGAAAACAAATAATATAACCTGTTACATACTTGTGAAGTGGGAACAAAAACATCTCTTACTGAGGGGAAAAAAAATATTTTGTCAGGTCTACAACTTACTTTTAAATAGCTCAAAAACACATACACACAAATACACACATATGTAGGCATACCTCCAAAGAGATAAAGCACACGGGATCAATATTAACAACTGGTAAATCTTGGTGATAATATATTATGGATATTCACCATCCTATTCTTTTTACTTTCTTGTAAAATTTTGAAAATTTTCTTCACATAGTTAAGAAAAATTAAAACAAAATTTCAAACAACGTTTTGTATTATGTATACAAACCAAGTGCTCACTATGTATCAATCACTGTCTTAGGTGATTATATACATTATCTGAATTATATTTCCACAACAAACCTATAAGGTAGATATTATTATTACCCTTATATTACAGAGGAAAAAAATGAAACTTGGAAAGGCAATCTGACTGCACAACTCTTACTTTTAACCACCTGGGGAAGAAAGTAATGACATGACTTCTAAACCTTATTTTAGTTTGTTCCATCCATGGACCCTAAAAATCTGCAAACTTACAGGAAAACCTTAACAATGTTATAAAAACACAATATATCAGTTTTTCTATTTCATTGACTGGCTTGGTTTTTGGCTGATACAGACTTACTTCCATTTATTTAAAATGTTAAGATTTCCTAAGAAACTATGAATAAA